AGTTCAGCATTGGGACTGTCTATATCTATAATAGCCTACTAGGCTAAGTGTCCAACTGTTCGATCATTCAACCAGTCACTATGACGCACTGAGCACCAGGGGACAGATAGATGATCTGACCAGTAGTTTAGCTTGCTACTGGGGAATGGCCAATAAGGACTGGACCAGATGGGCTAGACACACCCTGGAGCCCTTCTGCTATCCCTCCCTGGCCCGATCATGCACTGGTGGGGTCCCTCAGCCTGGCCTGCACCCTCTTGCAATCCAGGATCCCTCAATAATATTGTAAAACTGTATGGTACCAGAGGTATACTAGACTTAACAGGATGGTCACTTCCTAAGGTATATCAGTGTCTAGCCACTAGCTGTACATTTGACAATAATATAATATTTTATGCCAATTGTAATTAATAATAAATTTAATTAAAATGACTCGGAGTTCATTGCAGCCGAGTTGGGGGATGGCAAGGACTCAAATGAAGTGCGGGAAACCCCTGAGACCAGGTGTCTGTAGAGCAGAAGGCCCAGGTATGTTTCCTGCCCTGGCCAGTCTTCCTGTGAGACAGGGGACCATACAGCAGCACAGCCTCAGAGCCTAATGAGAAAGGGCTGGCTACACCTCAGCCATTCCAAGCTAATGAAAACCTATCCTTTTTTTAAGATTCCCAGGAGAAAGAGCCTGAACCTTCCCTGTTAATGGCTTCTATCTTTGGACCCTCACCGTCAGGAAATTCTTCTCTGTCTCAGTTACCTATTCTTACTAAGGTTGAACCACATTTTCTTTTGTCTGCTTTCAAAATGCTCCCCCAAATCTGCATTCAGATCATTAAATAAAGTGAAGGAAGTCATTTTAAAGGAATAACTATATGAAGCCAAGTCTTGTAAAGCTCAATACAAAACATGCAGGCACTCTCTGGTCTGGCTATATTTAACAGCTGCAGGCAGAGGCTGACTAAGAGACACCAGGATGGTGGCCTCTCTCGTTCTGACACAGGCTTTTTGAGTATGTTTCTAGTTGGTTGAAACAATTTTGGATGTCTCCAGTTGGATGGGAGGGTGATCTGGCTGGACCACCTGCCCCACGTCGATGATGGAGGTTGATTTGTTACTGAATGCTCACATCATCATTCTAGCTGTCTTCAAGAGGAATTCATGCCGAAACCGGTTTGGCTCAGTGGTAGAGCATCGGTCTGCGGACTGAAAGGTCCCAGGTTCTATTTCGGTCAGGGGCATGTACGTTGGTTGCAGGCACATCCCCGGTAGAGGATGTGCAAGAGGCAGCTGGTCAGTGTTTCTCTCTCATCGACGTTTCTAGCTCTCCATCTCTCTCCCTTCCTCTCTGTAAAAATAAAAATAAAAAAATCAATAAAAGAGGAATTCAATGATTTTAAAAATCACATTGTAATGTCCTGGTGTCAAGGGCCTGCCTGTGGATTTAGGGATGAGCCTTTCGAATATGAAATCCTAGTATGTGGCCTCTTAACCTTCCCTTCCCTTCATGTGAGTGATGCAAAATTACTCAGGGCAGTCAGGGATATGGAAGCAGATTTCACTCAGAAACCTTAAAAGGGCTTTAGAAAAAGCATTACATTGGGGGCGTATGGCCATTTTGCTCTGTGATCCAGAGAAGGGAAATGCTATCATTGCAGTGACCAAGTCTATACCACCGCAGAAGACTGTCCCTGTGGTAGTCTGCTTAACAGCATCCTCCTGGTGGGAAGCAATTGTTAGCTGCTGACTCTGTCAACTCAGTCTTTTCCTGCTTCTGAAGGTCTGAGGTGTTGCCTTTGATGTGTCTCTTACCTAATAATTAATGATTGAAAAACTAGACCTCCCACCTCTGTGTTGCTTAGGAATGTTTGTCAGTCACTCTCCCTGGTGAAAACCCCTGCGCTTCTCCACGGGAAATAAACATTTCCTACAAACCCCAAACCCCACTTTCTGTCTTATAAACCTTGTCAGGCAATCACAGAAATACTGAAAGGCATTGCTTAGTCTAAGGCTTTTTATATTTTGAAATCATCCAACAATAACAACAAAACCTTTAGCAATAATGGACCTCATCACTTTATAAATTTAAAATATAAAAAATAAGGGCATGAAGTCATAATGCTTTATGCTGATAAAAACCCTGAGATGGCTCAAAGAGCTGGAGAATAGGGATTCCCTTTAGAAATGATTCTGTCAAAAGAATGTAATCCTGAATAACACTTTGTAGATGAGAAAGAAAAGTCATATTTTTAAGTTGGCTTTTGTCAAATAACTTTAACCTTGTTCCCCAAAGTTTTGCAGAAGCCCACCCTGCAATAATGTAGCAAGGAGTGAATTTAAAATTGGTCCATATTTATTTGTTTACTTATTTTTATATTTTTATTGATTTCAGAAAGAAAGGGAGAGGGAGCAAGAGATAGAAACATCAATGCTAAGAGAGTATCATTGATCACTTGCCTCCTGCACTTCTCACACTGGGGATGAGCTTGCAATCAGGGCAAATGCCCCGACCTGGGAATCGAACTGTAATCTCCTGGTTCTTAGGTTGATGCTCAACCACTGAGCCATGTTGACTGGGCTTTATTTATTTGTTTTCTTGTTTGTTTACTTACTCATTTATTTGTTTTGCACTAACTTAAGTAAATCCCCTGCCAAGCAATGGTTCTATGGCAAGAAGTAAGTCCTTTGGAGAAGTAACACCAGGAAACTTTAGGATTCACTCTTTTCTTCTTCTTATTTTTTTTTTTTTTTACTCAAGAAGTATTTATTTACTGACATGTGTGCCAGGATGGGCTGGGTATGGAGGATACAGTGATAAAAAACAAAACACATACACACAAAAAAAGAAAAAAACAGACCCAGTCCTTAATTTGTTGGGGGCTCTGGGAAATGCTGACAAGTAAACAGACAATGACAGTGAATGTGAAAATGAGTTATGTCAGTGCTGTAAGAGGGAAAGGGGGAGTTGAGAGGAGGGGGTACAGCTAAGACCCAGCTATTGGAGGGGCAGAGGGTAGGGCCAGGGAAAGCCTTGGGGATAAATGCATTTTCTAAGCTGTGGTTTGAAAGCTTAACAGAAACCAGCCAGGAACAGGGACTGGGTGGGAAGAGTGTTCTAGGGAGAGGGAATCACAGGAAATATGTTCTAAAAAAGGATGGGAAGATATGAACTCTTGCTTGGTCCAATTCAACATTTTCTTGATAGTTAAGGGCTGACGATGGCCTTTCTAAAACTGTGGCCATCAGTGATAAAACATCTTTTCTATGACTCAAGCCCATTTCAGATGCCTCCACTCAGTCTTCCCAGGGCAGGCTGGCCTGGAGAAAGTGCCTTCACTGTCCCTGAGGCCTCTCTTCCTGTTTCAGAGGCTGGCTGCTATCTAAACCTCCAAGTCTTGCTACAAAAATAGCATCGAGGACACTGCAGACCTGTGAAGGGCTCACACTGTGAAGGGCTCACACTGATTCTTAACAACTTAAAGCTCCAATCACTGCATTAGTCCTGATCCTGCTAACTGAAGAGATCCTGCTCCTTTACAGTCCACTCTGCCCACTCACCCCCAACCCAGATCACAAGTTTGACTCTTCATAAGACTGGAAACCTAATAAAGATATAATCCAAAATGTGGGATAACTCTCTATGTATGTGGATAAATTAATCACAGCATTTCCTTGTCATAGTGGAAAAAATTACAAAACAACAACAAAAGATTCTTAAATGTACTCAAAAGGGTGAATGATTAGCTAATAATGGTATATCCTTTTCTAAAACTTATACAGCCATTAACAAAGATAACAATTGATAATAACTTGAAAAATGCTAGTGAAGGACTATGTTAAGTGGAAAAATATATAGAATTATACATACATTATGATCACAACCGTGTAAAGAATATAAGTATGAAGAATATAAGTATAAATATGAGATATGCCAAAATGAGAAGAGTAGTTGAATAAGTGTGATGTGATTATGAGCTATGTCCTATTTTCTCTGTTTCCCACATTGTATTTGTCTTTATAATTTACTTCCTATGAAATGTATGAACTTTTTAAATTAGCAATTGGAACATTTTGCAATCCACGTGGCATGTACAAGGGAACATGAGAGGAGAGCACGTCTATTTGACCCTCTACAATGGTACAGTGTGGTTCCCCGAGGGAGTGAGCAAAAGGTGTCATGTCAACCAACTGATGAACTGTAGCTTCTTCACAGCAAAATGTCATAGAAAAGGAGCAGTGCCCTATGAATTTGATAGACATTTGAGAATGTCAAGCAAATATAGTTACAAAAGTTGGAGTTGAGCAACAGATTTGGAATTAAGTTATTTAAGTCAATTTTGGAAACTTGACCACTCTTTAGGGCTCTGGGTAAAACAATGTTTTTTTTTTCAAGAGTAAGTTGAGCAAGACCAGGGTGTTTGATCCTAATTACTTTTTGAACTTCCCAGGCACAGATGTGTTCTTAGCTTGGAGATACACTGATTTCCTCTGTCAGTTTCTACAGATGTTCAACGGAGATGGCAATGTTGATGCACAAGATGGCGTCAGGTGATTATTCAGCTCTTAAAGAGAAGACAGAGCTAAGATATTGCTTCCCTTTCTTCATCTCCATGAAAGCTTAACTTGAAATAATGAATTATATTTTAGACAATTGAGCCAGTTTTGGCTACAGCAAGAGTTATTTAGGTTATATTATAATTAACTTCTTTCCAGCATAAAGAATAGCTAATGGCAGTTGTGGAATTTCCTTTTCTAAAGATTTGCAACAATAGGTTAGATATACATCTGACCTTGAATGCTTTAGGCGTGGTGTGCAATGAAACAGAATGGACAAAAATAGCAATCACACACAAAAATACCAGGGTGTGTCCTAATCTTCTCTCATAGATTTGTACAGATTTAGGCTGAAAAATAGTTTACACTGTTGCCCACCCCTCAGCTGAATCAAAGCCTGAGCCAGCCACATCAGTCACAGAAGAAACTTAGAAAGTGGGCCCAAAGTCATTTACCTGTACTAGGAGTTCCAACTTCCTGTCATCAAGAAGATGTACTTGACATCGACGGCCCTCCGTCATCTGAGAAGAAAGAGAAATGATGGTCACTGCGAGTCTAGCAGCCTGGCAAACAGTAAGAGGGTCCCCTGTGCTGGACTCGACGGGGCACATTCCTCTGGGCAAAACTTCTCCAGGGATTTGGGCTATGTAATGTCAACCATGAGCAGCATCGTTCATTCATTCAAAAATATTTATGAGCACTTTCTATGTGCCAGGCACTATTCTGGGAACAGGGTGTGCAGCAGTTTGCAAGACAAGGTCTCTGCTCTCATGGAGCTTACAATCTTATAGGGAAATTTATAATAAAACTAGTAGCTCAGTGCTTTGTGCACATTAAAAAGGGATTAATTAGAGGAAATATTTTAATATTGCTATTTGCCCTTTCTCTATAATGGAAGTGTCAGAGATGAAAGAAAGTTAGTAAAATATATATGAAAATCTTCCTCCTATCAGAGTCTGGAGCGCACCAAGGCCCATCCACATGTGCCTCAAAATCACAGGAGACCCAGACCTGGATACCTCCCACCCCCCAATTATGCTAGATCCAGTCCCGGCCGGTCCCACCCTTGTCAAGTTTTGCCAGGAGCAGGGCGCAGCCTCCGGTCCCCCATCAAGCCCTATGGGGATAGGGGAGTCACGACCTAAGGCCCCCTAGCTTGGCACCGGGGTGGGGGTAGCAGCCTGAGGTCCCCTAGCCCAGCACCAGGGTGGGGGGTGCACCTTGAGGTCCCCCATCAAGCCCTGCCAGGCAAGGAGCATGGCCTCAGGTCCCCTGGCCTAGTGCCCAACTGGGGGGGGGGGGGGGCGCGCCCTGAGGTTCCCCATTAAGCCCTGCCAGGAGGGGGACACAACCTAACATCCCCTCACCTGGCACCAGGGCATGGGGCAAGGCCTGAGGTTCCCTGTCAAGCCCCACAGGGGCGGTGGGGGTGGGGGGTGCAGTCTCAGGTCTCTGCTGATTGCTCAATTTGCATATTCCCTCTTTATTACATAGGATAGCAAATACATACATAACACAATATCAAGTGGTAATAAAAGTAGCTCATTCTTTAGTCATTCTTCCATTCAATAACTTTATTAGAGACAGAGATCAGTATCCAGTCTCTGTCACTTTCACATCAAAACTTGTCCCACTTATGATCACCATGGAGCAGATGTCGACCCCTCTGGCTGCAGCATTTGATTTGTGTCAATTCTCTCCTCTACTTGTTTATGACCCTAGATCAACAGTGCTTTCATCTGTGAGAGAGGAACCCTAGAGATATGTGCTAAGCTGACCCTAACCCAGGTCCTTTTCACTACTAATAGCTATGTGCTATGTAACAGAAAGAGGATCTAGACAGGCACCAAAAGACCCAAGTTGAGTCTTGGTCCCACAAGGTACTGACTGCAGGACTTTGGACAATCCCCTGTTCCTCTCAGTGCCCCAATCTCACACATAAAAATGAGTGGGCTGGCCCAGTGGGTGATAGTGAATATTTAACTATCTTTCTGAATTAAAAAAAGGCATTTGTTTGTATCCCCCTGACATCACCCTCAAAGAAAATCCCATGAAAAACAAGCCTTCCCATAATTGTCAGCTGGCCAGAACTCACCAAAAACTGTCTCACTGTGCTCCAAATGTCTTCACCATGTCTGCCTTCAAGCTACTGTCATGACAACACCAACAGTATTCCCAACAGATGCAAGACCAGTGGTCGGCAAACTCATTAGTCAACAGAGCCAAATATCAACAATACAACATTTGAAATTTCTTTTGAGAGCAAAATTTTTTAAACTAAAACTTCTTCTAATAGACTCTCTCAGGCTGTGGTATTTTGTGGAAGAGCCACACTCAAGGGGTCAAAGAGCCGCATGTGGCTCTCGAGCCACAGTTTGCAGACCACGGCAATAGACATAAGTAACCTCAAGAATGTAGATGATAGTAAAGTATAGTCAACTCAGTAGGAAGTGGTGGGTCTTAGGATTTATTATCTTTGTTTTTAATGTATAATAATTTATTTAATGCAATTTTATATAATTTTAATAATGGCTGTACTTACAAATGACATGCAAAATTCCTAAAAATGTAACAACTACTAATGAGCTGGCTCCACAACCGCTGTCTGGACCTGAAGCCACATAAGTTCCTCCAGCCTTTGAATTTTTACATTGAGTGGCCAGATTATTATGATCTCTGAATGCATAATAATCTGGCCACTCAGTATTTATATATATTAGAGGCCCAGTACATGAATTTGTGCATGGGTGGGGTCCAACCAGCCTGGCCAGGGGGAGGGGACATGGGCATTTGGCTGGCCAGCCTGCTGGTCAAAGTCCTGGATGAGGGGACAATTTGCATATTAGACTTTTATTATATAGGATATATACTGAGTGGCCAGATTATTATGCATTCAGAGGTCATTATAATCTGGTCAATCAGTGTATATGACTCTGTTACCCTAACTGAAGCTACCTTCTTTTGCCCCAGCTACAAGCAGATTAAAGGGAAGGATGCACATGACAGATCCTGGTGTCACTTAATTGTACAGCAATGGGGGTCAGTCCCTTCTCCAAGTATTTTCTTCATAAAACATAGTAATGACAGCTTCTTCTCTTCTTGTTAACAGGGTTTATTCTCTAACCATCAGCATGTTAAAAGCTGGCACGCACTCCCATAAGAAAATTCTGTGAGTGCTTCCTCAAAAGAAGCCAACCCATCATCCCATGGGGAGTCCCCAGCTCTAAGTCATCAAGAAAAGTTTCACATGCTCATAAACACTCTAACAGAGGTTGAAATAGAGTGAAAATTTGAGAAAAAAATCTTCAGTCCAAGGCTTGCTATTTTGCACATCTAAGCCAAAACAGGCAGTTGTGGATATGAGATGGGTCTCTGCTAAGTCTTTATTCATTCTCTGATCTTAACTTCAGGTGTTAATTGTCTTAGCCACAACCTTACAAACAGCAGTCATCCTACCAAATGACTTAATTTAAAAGTTCATCAGCTTCAAAAAATAAACAAGTGAGACTACATCAAACTAAAAAACTTCTGCACAACAAAGGAATCCATTAACAAAATAAAAAGGAAACCCACCAAATTTGAGAAAATATTTGCAAATCATATATCAAAAAGGGGGTTAATATCTAAAATACAGAAAAGTAATCATATAACTCAATAGCAAATAAAAAAATCTGATTAAAAATAGGAAAGGCATGACTAGTGTGCCTCAGTGGTTGAGCATTGACCTATGAACTAGGAGATCACAGTTCAATTACCAGTCGGGATTACTGGCTCAATCCCCAGTAGGGGGCATGTAGGAAGCATCATCATTGAAGTTTCTCTTTCCCTCTCCTTCCCTCTCTGAAATCAATAAAAATATGTTTAAAATAATAATAATAATAATAATAATAATAATAATTAGGCAGAGAATCTGAATAGACATTTTTCCAATGAAAATATGGATGTATATAGATGGCACACAGATACATGAAAAGGTGCCCCAAATCACTAATCATCAGGGAAATACAAATGAAAATCACAATGAGCTATCACCTACTGTAAAAGGTTAAGGATTTAAACATGTTCTTGTGTTCCTTATTCACATTCTAATATATTTCACAAAAACAAAGAAAGACATTACTGTATCAAATAAAGTTTTTGTTGTGTTATCCTTACCCAAAGATATGTTTAATGATTTTAGAGAAAGGAAGAGAGAAAGAGAGAGAGAGGCAGGCAGACAGACACTGCCTCCAGTAAGCGCCCTGACTGAGAATTGAACCCACAACCTAGGTATGTACCCTGACCAGGAATCGAACTGTGGAGGCAGTTAGACAGACATGAGCAGAGCAAGAATGATGGGCCAGTAATAGAAGATCACCAGAGTGGAAAGCTCTGCATGCCTAGCAAAGGACAACTGTAGGGTGGGACCTTGCCCCCAGGGTGACTTTTCTTGCCCTAGCATATCACTGGTAATGTGGTATGGACCCCCTGACCTTTCCTCCCTAGAGATAACATCTATGCCTCAGTTTATTTTCAGGTCTAGAAAAGCAGAAAAACCAGACAAGCAACACCAAGGCTGACCTCAGGACCAGTTGCATTGGCACCCCCTGCACTGGTGCCAACCAATCAGTTAAGACCTATGGAAAGCTGTTGAATAGTGCATGGATATCTTCCCCTGGTGGGGCTTGACAGGGGATCCCAAGGTGCACTTCCCATCCTGGTGCTGGGCCAGGAGACCTTAGGCCTCGCCCCCCAGGGGACCTCACTCCTACCCCAGCACTGGGCCAGGGGACCTGAGGCTGTGCCCTCCTGCCTGGCTGGGCTTGACAGGGGACCTCAAGCTGTGCCCCCCCCCCCCCCCCCCCAGCAAGGCTTGACAGGAGACCTCAAGTTGCACTCCCAATGCTGGGTCAGGGGAACTCAGGCCATACCCCCGCCCAGTGGGATTTGACGAGGGACCTCAAGCTGTGTCCTCCTGCTGGTGGGCTTTATGGGGGACCTCAGGCCATGCCCCCCACCCAGTAGGGCTTGAAAGGGGATCTCAGCCCATGTCCCCCATTCTGGTGCCAGGCCAGGGAACCTGAGACTACACCCCTTGCCCAGCAGGGCTTGATAAGGGTGGGACTGGCCAGGTCTGAATTTAGCCCAATGGGGTTAGGGGATGGCCAGGTCTGGGTCTCACACAATTTTGAGTTGCATGAAGTTGGGTGGTGACTTGACTCTGGGGCCCATGGTGAGCCCCAGACTCTGACAGGAGGAAGGTTTTCATATACATTTTACCAATTTTCTTTCATCTCTGACACTTCTATTATAGAGAAAGGACAAATAGCAATATTAAATTATTTCCTCTAATCCCCTCTTAATGTGCATGAATTTTGTGCACTGGGCCACTAGTATATATTTATATAAAAGCCAAGCGACTGGAACAACCAGAATAACCAAAACAAACAGTTGCTATGACGCACACTGTATCCAGCCAACCAGCCTGGGGGGGGTAGGCTGGCCAAACTCCCATAGTGCCTCCCCCTGGCTGGCCCCCACT